CAGCAGAGACTGTCTGTCCGCCACCCCGGGGCTGAACCACCCGCCACTGCCACTGCCGCCAGGGTACCCCCCAGCCCCCAACTACCCCACTTTCCTGCCCGAGCAGCTGCCTCCCAGCACGCTCCAGTACCAAGGTCAGTCTCTCTATCTGAGCAGTTTTGGTGGGGCGGACAAGGTAGCTGGTTCGGCACCGGGGTGGTGGTACTCACTCCACCTTCTCCACCTCTAGAGCTGATGCCACCAGGGAGCTGCCTGCCAGAGGAGACCAAGCCCAAGAGGGGACGCCGGTCGTGGCCTCGGAAAAGGACGGCCACACACACATGTGACTACGCGGGCTGTGGCAAAACCTACACCAAGAGCTCTCATCTCAAGGCGCATTTGAGAACCCACACAGGTGAGACCTGGCATGTGGGGTGGGTGGGTTGCCCTGATGCGGGGAGAGATGGGATGAGTGCCGCTCATGTGTATAGCAGCAGGAGAAGGGCCAGGAGGAGCAAGTCCTAACCTTTCTCTGCTAGGTTTCTGTTTGGGTGCAAAGTAATTTCGCTTTCTGATTTGTGTTTTTTTTTTCCCTTGGCTACATTAAGTCCTGTGCAGTCTTTGTTTATTGGCTCAGTATTTTACTGAATGGTTCAGAGTGACTCAGATGTGGGAGAGGGTGGGCTTCTAGCTGAGGCAAAGCATGTGTTTGCTCTTTTCTTGCTATGTGGCTAGCTAATTAGCAGGTAGTTGGAAGTCATCTGGGATTTGTTGCTCTAGATGCTGTTGGCCCACTTCAGAGAAAGGAGCAGACCTCTGTCTGAATCTCACTTTCTTTGCTCTTGTTGAAACACTTCCTGCCCCCCCTTGTCTTGGCTTGTTCCGGTGCAAGAGATCCTGTAGCTGACATGCCCTCAGCTATAACAGCTCACCAAAGTCTTGACATCTCTGCAGACTGCTGTTCCCTTTCAGAGGAAACAGTGACAGGCTCCTTGTGAATGGGGCTTTCAGTTGTGTCTATGGTATGGACAGAGTGCCCAGCCCACACAGGGGAGCATGCCTTCCTGTCACTTAGCACCAAAAAAGACAGAATTTAAAAGTTCATCAGCTGCTGCTAGAATTCGGATGAAGTCTGCCAAAGCACGCATCTAAGCCCAAGTTCAAACTTTCCCCTTGCTGCTTAGTGCAGTTCTGCAATAACTGTGCTTGTGGAAACAGATACATAACAGTTTCACCAGTGCTGGCGTTCAGTAAGAGTGATTAAATAATCTGGGAATTTGCCTAATTCAAAACCTTGGATTGTGGACTTGGTTCCAAACTTTTGCCTGAAGAGGAGATGGGAAGGGGAGAAGTGATAGTGTAGTGGTTAGGCTACAACTTCAGCTGATGCCAGTGGGAGCAGAACTGAACTAACAAACAGGGCTTCCTGCCTGTTCTGAGCCAGTCAAAGCTGTCTCCTGTATGTGTAGGGCTGGGAGTATATAATTGTTAGGGACACTCATCTTACAGTCAACAGCAGTGTTCAGCAGTGTTGCTTTAGTGAAGACAGTAAGATTGAGTTGTTAATTTAATCAAGTTAAGCTAATGAAAACAGTTTCCAGCGGGTTTTGAAAATCTTGAAACCTACCATTATCTGAATCCATTATCTCTGCTGAGCTATTTCTGGTTGATATCTGGTTGTATAACATCAACCAGCAAAAAACACACTCTTTTATTATCTTGCATTCTGCAGTGTTTGGAAGACCAACAGTGCAAATAAGCATTCTACTGAAGATTACCGTAACATCAGTGTTTCATAATACCTGCAGCATTATCTTGAAAAGACTGTCTTATTTTGTTAGTCTTTGTCATTTGTTTACGACTACTTCAGGATCCTGATTGTCTTTTCTTTGACTCGACCCAGGACTAAATGTGTTAGCGCTTCCTGAAAGCAAGAAATAAGGTGTTAGAAGAGGGGGTGGAACAAAGGTATATGCACATCCCCAGAATACCTGAATCACATGTTCCCTTTTTATTCTTTTTCAAGGTGAGAAGCCTTATCACTGTGATTGGGAAGGCTGTGGATGGAAATTTGCCCGGTCCGATGAACTTACGCGTCATTACAGAAAGCACACAGGCCACCGCCCTTTCCAGTGCCAGCGGTGTGACAGAGCATTTTCCAGGTCGGACCACCTCGCCTTACATATGAAGAGGCACTTTTAATTGGAAGCAGTGGATCTTTCCCAAACTGCCGTAGAGATTTCAGTATTTACAGCACAAGGACTGTCTTCCGCAAGAAGGGGGAACGCAGTTTAAGCACTACAGAGAATCATGGTGAAGTCTTCCAAAGAGTGGAAATAGGGATAATTGCATATGAACATTGGAACTTTTTAAATATAAACTAAAAAAAAGCATTGGGGTCAATGACTGGATCTTCTATCATTCCATCTGTAAATCCAACTTGAATTATTTCTGGACTACAAAATGCCGAGGAGTGACTGGAAGTCACGGATATCAGGGTTAAACAGACTGTGTAGGAGGGAGGGTGGGGATATTACACAGGGAAATAACATTCCCTTAAATTTTCTTTCAATGCAATAGTAGATGTAAATGTCATCTTGTATTTTACTTTTTTCCTTCTGAAAGCCATTACCATGTTAAAAAAGGAGGAAATTCAGGTACAGAACTATGTATTTAAAGCCTATTTCATGGTGCTTAGTGACTGTTGGTTCTAGAGGTACCAAAAACAGGAAGCCAAAGTTCTCAAGCTGCTGCATATCTGACAAGGAAATATTTTTGTCTTC